ATATATATATATATACATATATATATATATACATATATATATATATACATATATATATATATACATATACATATATATATATATACATATATATATATATACATATATATATATATATATATATATATATATATATATATATATAACTTGGAGGATTCAAATTATATTTTTTAGAAAGAGAGAGACTCTATGTGTAACGAACGTCATTGAAGAATCCTTTTATAGTGAGCTTTAAATATCGTTACTCTTATCGTAAATGTCGATTATGACGAAGGTGGTGTGCTACTTCTAAGCTTAATTATAATCATGGTGTGTCAAACTTGACCTGTGATAATGTTCGATCTACTTGATCTTGTGTTTAGGCACTGGTCATATGACGTTAAGGTGTCAATCATATGGTTTTGAGGGGATGGCCCATATGACAATAAAACCTAAATGACCGATGTGATGCTAAAGTATCGACCAACATGACAATAAAATATCATCATGTGTCACTAAGGTATCTATCCACATGATATTAAGGTTTAAACCAATGTGGTAACACTGTGGTATCAGTATCAGTCAAAAGTAATTCTTGAAAAATGGGTGTAGTAAAGCAAGAGGATAATTCCCTAATATCATTAGGGATTAAAGAGTACCCGTTCTACCAGTTTATCTAACTCATCATTTCTAATAGTTAGTGTGTAGAAGTTTTATGAAGATGATGGAAGCAGTTCTCTTTTAAATCCAGAAAGGGGAAAGCAGTTCAGTAACATTGAGGGATATGATGCACATAACGCCTCACTGTGCAAAAAAATACACAAAACGACGGAACTGATGCCATAATGTAGCTCATTTGCTCCACCACCATTTCCCTGCGTGGACTCATCTCGCCGAGAGTTTCCAAGAAGCTCAACCATCTGAAATGGTAAGAGAAAGAGTCTTCTCCAGCTTTAATACTAAGCGTTGATCAAGCAAAACTGCAGCTACTTGTGAAAACAACGTGCCGAGTTGACTAAGAAATCATGAGAACGCGTGCTTAGGTGGATTGGGTCTTCGACGAAAACACTGTGAGCCTGCCAAATATGAGTCCCACCCCATCCTCTCCGTGACTTGTATATGTCTTCGATGAGTAGGAGAAATACTAAAAGCCATTAGGCATGACATGGCTTTCCGGATGTAGAATACGCGTCGAATCAGGTGCTGCAGGTGAAGACACCTTCAAAAACCTATCGACAACATGCCAAGCCGTCTTGATTCCTCCACCCTAAGCAATAAGCATTGACGCTGTCCTGATTGCTGTCCACACTGTTCTCATCCCTCCTTTTCCTTGCATCTATAAATCCGACGCTTTGGAGATCTCTTCGGATCATATCATCCGGGTTTAGATACCACAACAGTTGAAGCTTCTCCACCCATGGCTTTCTCCCTCGACAGACTCTTCCCTTTCTTCCTCTTCTGTCTGCTTGCATGCCCCGCCGCCCATGGCCAGTTGTCGCCCACCTTCTACGCCGGTAGCTGCCCCAACCTAGAAAGCATTGTGAGCTCGGCGATGTCGCAGGCCGTCGCCACGGAGAACAGAATGGGCGCATCCATTCTGCGCCTCTTCTTCCATGACTGCTTTGTTAACGTGAGCGCGCAGTTCATTGGCTTCGTGCCCTCCTTTCTTGAATCCACTGCTTCGTCGTTGAAGCTGACGTCTTATTTTACCCTCAGGGTTGTGATGCATCGGTCCTCCTCGATGACACCGCCACCTTCACCGGCGAGAAGAACGCGATCCCCAACAACGGCTCTTTGCGAGGCTATGAAGTGATCGACGCCATCAAGACCAGCGTCGAAGCAGCTTGCGCTGCCACCGTGTCGTGCGCCGACATATTAGCTCTCGCAGCGCGGGATGGCGTCGTCCTGGTAATCAACCATCGCTACAGCCATCTCTTGTTCTCTCTGGCATTGTTGCTTTAGCTTGTACTGATTTGGATGGATAACGAGTTGGTTGTAGCTCGGAGGACCGAGTTGGACCGTGCAACTCGGACGCAGGGACGCGACGACGGCGAGCCAGAGTGCGGCGAACACCGACATCCCTGCACCCTTCCACGACCTCTCCAAACTCATCTCCTTGTTCGTCTCCAAGGGATTCAGCGCGCAGGACATGACCACGCTCTCAGGAGCGCACACCATCGGCCAAGCGCGGTGCCTCAACTTCCGGCCGCACGTCTACAACGACACCAACGTGGATGGCAGCTTCGCGGCCCTCCGCAGGCAAGGCTGCCCCTCCGTCGGAGGCGACGACAACTTGGCTCCTCTTGACCTCCAGAGCCCGGAAGCGTTCGACAACCTGTACTACCAGAACCTAATGCTCAACAAGGGACTGCTTCACTCGGACCAGGAGCTCTTCAATGGCGGATCCCAGGACTCGGTGGTGATGACGTACAGCACCAATGCAGCCGCGTTTCAGAGCGATTTTGCGGCGGCAATGGTGAAGATGGGGAACATGAGCCCGTTGACGGGGACCATCGGGGAGATCAGATTGAACTGCAGGACGGTAAATTAGGCCGTGAAAGCAAGCAATATTGCATGTAGCAACGTTTTCCAAGTAATAGCGTTTGTATACAGGTGTTTACAGTCTCAGGGCTGTCTCCTCTCCCAGAGTGGCAGATATTATCGATTGCATTGAATGATTCACAATTGTGTAAAACTTGACCTATTCTGGTTAAGTTATTTTATTTTTGTTAATTAGAATAAGTCTGAGCAATTGAAGTTTCCTAAGGTGTTAAAAAAAGAAAAAAAGAAAGGAAAAGGCCCTTTTCTTAAAGGTATATTTAATAATTGATGAAAATTATATTTTAATTTTTTATTAAATATTATGTGACGAAATTTATCCTTCTAATATGTTTAATATTTATTATATATATTTATATAATTCTACAAAAAATTTCATAATAAAAACAAAATTATAATCATATAAATGAATGTAAAATAATATTTAAAAATAAATAAATAAAAATTTTGTATAGTGATAACAAAGGTTAGAGTTTCTATTATATAAAGGTAATCTTATTATTTTAAAGAATATCATAAGATTCCTTAATTTTTTTTAAAAAAAAAATTCATTAGCATCTCACAAATGCTGAAATGCTAATACTACTCTGAAGTAGCATTAATATTTGAGCATTTATAATCCAACATCTAGGCCAAATATGATTTTTAAAAAAATTATCAAACATCAGTTCATTTTTAAAACATGCATTAGACTCTCAATACATATTTCAAATATATTTCTAAATACACTTTAAGTACCTTATATTACAAGAAGTAGCATTCCACTCAAAGCATCAATAAGCAATGGAAGAAGAAACTCTTACGTGCTGTGCTTACCAGTCTATTCATAAAACATGGCCAGAACATAAATTATTGTTAAACTTTAGAGATTAAACTTTGTTGTTTTAATGTTCATTAGTGCTACCTTAGTATTAAAGACTACCATACACATATAATTCCTAGGAAGATATAAAACAAACCAAATTTCCCAGGCACAAGCAGAGATCTACGATGGATATAAAGAAAGAAAGGTAAACAAGCTATCATGTTGCATTAGAACATGATGTAGCTCACGGGTTAAATAATTGGTTCAGTTAAAGGGCTCTTACTGGTCGGGTAAATAACATTAGCTACCGAAAACTAATCTGTTCCTACCAAGTTTCTTTGGCTCTTCCAGCCAAGAGGAACAAATAGAAGGAACATAGAGCTAGTTGCAACATAGTCTCATTCAAGCATTAAGGCCTTTATGGAGAGTCATGCGGGCAAGCAGATGTGATTCAGCACATGAAAATTGCCAGGGTTCAATTGTCATGGAACTCACTTCAGTTTGAGATTGACCGAGATATGCGTGGCCTCACTGGTGTCTTCGAAGGACTCACCCTGAACAACATGAATTAGGAGTCATTGTTTAAGATAATTTATATGACGTACTGTTGAAGAATTGAGAGCATACCTGATAGGTAGAGCTCCCAGAATCATGCCACTACAACCCAGAGCTGCGATTGCACTTTCTGCCTGTCATCAGAATCATGAAAAGATAACACACTTATATCACTTCTTTGTGACCTGAAAATGCCTGGTTAACTTTCAAGCTTAATCATAAAGAAAAGGTAAAGCACACTAAAAATTCATCATGGAAAAGTAATATAAATATCAAATAAAGGATGTCATTTTCCTATTCACCAGATATAATGTCTTTGATCCAAAAATATATATAATAAGAAACCGTAATTTCCTAAATACTTGGTTAGCTATAGGAATTTTATAATACCATTGAACTACATCTATAACAACATCACTGGTCAAATCAAGAGCAACCAGATCTTTTTTTTTTCTTAACAGTTACTTAGGTGTTCTCCATCTATTCTGACACAACAAATCTTGTGCAACCGGAGCATTTACAACTCTCTTTTGTGCATGTCCATAGCATTTAAATTGTTTTTAAATGATTTTTTTTTATCTTATCTCGTATTGCATCTGTGTTCATTTCTTACTCACGATTTTGGAAATGATACATCTATTTCAACATCCTCATATCAGCAATCCTAATTTTTTCTATATGTTATTTTTAAATCATCCAAAATTCCAACCTATAAATCATTTATGGACTTACAATAGTCTAATAACACATTTTATGTATCTAAGGGACACACGACAAGTACATAGAGCTCATGATGACCCTCTCCACTTTAACGAAATCCCTCTTAGCCTTACAAATAATAAATTCTTTACATCTAGAAATTTCATCTGTCAGTTCATTCTTCTCCACATATCCATAATCCTTGTGCATTCTCTTAAATTCTTCATATTCCTTATGCGATCATTCACGATCGCTTTAGTAATAAGTTTCTCACTTATTAGAATGTTCTCAATAAATCTATATTTTTTTCCAAAGATTCCCCAATAATTTAATCTTATTTGAGGGGTATAAGCACTCATTACACTTAATATCTCTTCATCTAACACAACTTAATAATAAAGTTTCATCACTAGCTCTTTTTGCCTTTACAACATATTTCTTAATATCCTTGTCTTCAAAAATA